TAAGTCATATGACGTGCGATTTACTTGCAAAAAAAAATCGTCATCCGACGTGTGTTATTTTTGTTTTGTTATGATATTTTATTTAAATCATGAAAAAGGGGGGAAGTGTAAATTCAAACGGATATCAAATAGTAAAAAGTCATACACTACAAATTTCAGAGATAAAAGCTGATTTCAAATACAAATACGCGATTAGAGTATATATGAACAATCGGAAGACATGAAAGACACGGATAAAGAACAGAAGTAACATTGTTCCGTTGAATCATAGCTTTTCGTAGATATGAAGAAGATTTCGTGTAGCAAGGGCGATGTCGTAACAATCATCAATAAGAAAATGAACTGGTGATGTTGGATTGTCATCAATGGCCATTGCATGAAATAACAATTGCTGTGTATTTGCAATTAACATGTTCAGATTTGTTCGGACATCTTCATTACAGATCATCTAAGAAGGAAAAGATAAAGGTTGATATCTACTATTGATTTCGATCCTTCGGATTAGTATTCAAACACTGTTTTCTTTCAAATGATCAGATTTTTGTGCTTACTTATTTCATAGAATGAATACTAAGAGATAGTTCAAACGAACAAGTGTATGTTTGTACTTGGATGAGTATTATCATGTGTACTTACTCGATGCGATAGTCGAATCATGTCTTGAACTGAATGATTGATTCGTTCAGCATAAGCAACATATCTTCAAGAAGAAAAATATCGATGGTTATCAGATGTATGTTTTGAAAATTATACCGATGAGTTTGATTTTGTTTAATTAACGTAAAAAATTCCGTGACGTGATAGGTGATGTTTCGTGTATGTTCGATCACATCATTATGCCATGGTACATGATTAAACGAACCTAGTCGATCATATGCAGAAATATATATGAATGTTTCAGCTATTAAACGAAAAATATTACCTTTACGAACGAGCGTTGCTGGCGAGATGAGTTTTCTGCGGCCTTCGGAGCAAGAACGAGAACGCTGGATACTTATTGGAATCTCTCGTTTGTACGGTTGATACGTGGGATTTGTCGCCGATTTCGGTATAGATGGTTCGATTTTTCGACTGAGGAAATCTGTATGTCGATACGAACGGGAAGTGTCCGACGAATACTCGTCGATTTGTGGAAATCGATGGACATTTCGACTCGATCTAGAAATATCAGTTTCTCAAATAGAAATTTCAGATTTTGTCAATTAGTACCGTTTATCACCGCTGAAGACCGCCGTTGTTGTTAAGTTTGACAATGGACTAAATATTTTGAAAGAAAATAGAAGGCATTTGAGTGAACTGAACTACTCACTTGTCCGGATCGTCCAGTAGGGTTGTATTGTCGTAGTCACTTTCGATGAATGGACTTGATTTACGACTAATATTATCAAAAAATAGTTGAGATGTCTAAAGAAAAGAAAAGTAAGATGAGAATACATACAGATACTTCTTCTATATGGTATATTAAAACATAAACTATGGTCTAATGAATTAGTGATGATTAGTATTACTACTAAGTATCTACTTGGCATCGTGATGAGTATCTAAATCTCAACGATAACCTTAAAAATCATTCTTCTGTTTCATTTGTAGATTTTTTTTTCTGACTAAAAAAGACTCTTTTCATATGTTCAACGATCTGAAGTCTCTCGAAATAGATTACTCGAAGAATAATTTTGCTTGTTTCATCACTGATGGCAGGCACTGATGTCTGATCTGGAACTTGTTGGTCGAGTTTACTCAAAAGATTTTCATCGAGTAATCGTTGAATCTATTCAGAGATATATATTGATTAGAAATGTGGCATATGCATAAACTCTTATGTTTACCATCTGATGTAATACCGTTAATTCATTTTTGAGATCCAAATGAGCAGATGCCAAATATTTCACTTGCAATTCTGTATTTGCTACACGTGTTCTCAAAGGATTTGAATGATCCGAATCGGCAATTCCTTCGTGAAAATGATCCAATTCAGTCGTAGTCTAAAGAGATATCCAATAAAACTTCTATCAAGTAAATTGTTAGTTTTATCATTACACATGGTGATGGGAGTACACCATTCTCGGTTGAATCTTGATTGGAATGATTTCCAATCTTTTTCAATCTTCTACTCTGTTTTGTTCGCTTTTGCTGTTCTAAACTACTGGATTCTTCATCGGATGCAACTTTATCGTAATATGGTTCATCATCAGATTCAATCAATGCTGCTGCCAGATCATCATTGTGTCGAGATAATGTCGGACCTATACGAACAAAACGAAATATCTTGAGGATACTGGAATAACATATATCGATTTCGAGTACTTTTGACGGAGGGTGTTCGTTGAATAAAATGAAGGTATCGTCGACGAAATTCATCCAATACATCATAAATAAATCCATGAAATTCTTTTATTCCGTATCGAGCTAATTTTTGCCGTCCCTATCAATCGATCGTACTAAACGTTATGTTTTTCTATCTTGCGGTGTTCGTACCTGATTTCTGGTCGCGGACAACGTTGGATTAACAGGTAGAAATGGAACAACATGTAGAGGAACTAACGACTTGTCCACTTGCGTCTGCCACACTGCAAATGATGAGAATGGAACAGTTCTAGACTTGAGATAGAAAAAAACAACAACAGAGATTTACTTGATTTTAATTCACGTCGGTCTACTTCATCGAATATGTCCATAGCCAAATCTTCGAAAAGTGTATCTGATAACTGAAATATGGTACATCGAAAAACGAATTTCCAAACGCGCAAGTATTTCTAACGCACTTGTTGAAGTTTCTGACGAGCAATTGATGTTGGAGAAGATCTATTCATGCTATAAAAAGGAAACTGAACTTCAATACTACCTCATCACTCAGATTCTACTCACATCTTATCACAATTAGCCAAAAGAATATGTTCATCGGTTTTGTGATCGGGTTGTTTGCCACCAATGAAACATATCAAACGATCGGTCAATTCATACTGCAATTCAATCAAACGATCAGCTAAATCAGTATATCCATTGACTCTACACAAGGAAATGTGAGCTTTGAAATAGGATCGAATATTATCCACCTGGCATGTTCGTCGGGAGGTACACCCGAAGCATCGATGGTCGCTGGATCACCACCAAAAATGCAGAGTAACTATGTAATACAATTCAGACAGATGAACGTTGCAAAATGAAACGATGAGTATACTTCGATTTGGTTTTGTTGGCCACGGCTAGCTGCAACATGCATAGCCGATGTTCCAGTTTCCTATGAAAGAAATTGAAAAGGTATAAATCATCTCTTCTCGGCCTGAAGTAACGAACTGGATTGCGAAAATTTGGATCGGCTCCTTGAGAGAGAAATCTGAGACATGTGATAATATTATCTGTTCTCACAATCGAATGTAATTGCTAGGGAAAAGGCGAAATAATGCAATGGAAAATATGAAACTTCTCATTTTCATACTAAATTTATATCTTCCAAGGTTCCATTTGTTTCGTCCTTCGATCGATTAACATAAGCCATTTGTTGATATTTAGCTCGAATAAAATCGGCTTTAATTCTATTCATATGTAAATATATACACAGCGAATTCATTTTTCTGTACGAATGAATATGATTTCTTACGGGAATGCATCATTTGCTGTTGGCTTCTTTCGTGGTAATTTATTGTGTGGATCACGGAGACTATATTCCCAAATTAGATTAGCACCATGTGAACTTAATTCATTAATTAACTTAAAATACAAAAAAGAAAATAAGAAGAAACATTCGCTTTTTTCGAGTTGGAAACCAACGGAGCTCGTACATTAAGTTGTGTCGGTGACCAATGACTTTTTTCGAGAGATTTTATTTGTGATATGTGTCGGCCAAGGCTTAAATGTACACTAGAACATTCGTCGCAGACGAGCACACCATGATTGATCGAACACCATCGAGGATCTGATAAGAAATAGAAAGACGACTTCGATCTAATAGATCATGTCACATAATCATCGATTATTATTAAGACATTTCAACTATTGATCTATCATCAATAGCAACAAATGACTGTTTATACAACAAACACTAAACGAACATAACTTTGTGTTTTAGCTACTGATTGTATTTCAACAACATATTTCTTCTTCTATCAATTGAGAACTATCGGATTCATTATTCTTGCACACATGGTTAACATACTATTTCTGATGACTTGCCAAGGACACTCAATCATGTTCTTTGGTCATTAATATCTTGCCTTCTCGGATTTAACGTAATATGTCAATATGATATTTTTTCATCTCGGCAGAAAGAGCAATTCAAACATCAAGGAAAAGAAAGCTCGTTCATTCATTAACACATCAAACTTGCAAAGCAACAAACGCACTCCTTGCATCTCTTACCGTTTTGTCCACAATCATGGCATTCTCGGCCAGTCGTATCCAAAGCTTTAGGCATTATACTATTACCGATTCATCTAATGTCAAGGAAAGAGAGAGAGAGAGAAAATGAATAATTTCAAACATTATGAAATAATATCGCAGACACTTTTTTTTCTCTCTCGCACATACACACACACATTCGTTCTTATTACTAAAAAGAACATGTCATCTCGATCACAAGTCAGTCATAGAATTTATCCTATTTTGTCTATATTTCTTATTTCCATGAAGAGAAGAATAGAAAGAACGAGAGAGAGGGAGAAAGAGAGAAAAAAAACAGAGGAAAGGATAAAATAATACACAAAGCAAGGAACAAAAAAGGAATCACTTTGCTTGTTTTTCTTTGTATCTATCATTTCTTTTGCTTAAACACTAAGCAAAAGCAAATGCACACTCGCACGCTTACATACAGTTTTGTTTAGCAAACAAATCTAAGAGAGGCTTTTTTTGCAGAATGAAAGAATCTAAAGTAAATTGATATTACAATTTCATGTCCAAGTTCTATCAGAGAATTGAATAGAAAATATATACACATAGATAACAAAGAGAAATACTAAAAATAAATAAACGATAATATCAACGAGAATTGAAAATAGATGAAGAATTTATTCTTGTCGAAAGCGTTTCTAAAAATGACAATAATTTTAGTTCATAGAAGTGTACGGAATGATTCTACATACTGATTCATTTGTTTCATCACATCGTTCAGCAAGTTCAGTTTGAAAATATTGAAATAGTTTGTCCAGATTGTCTTCGGATGCTTTCAATGAATCATTATCGAAGACTTTACGTTTAACATCAAGTACAGAATTGATCAATGCATCTTTTGATAAAATCTTTCCACTCTGAAAGAATAATAAACAAGACAATTGATAAGGTTTCCGTTGAAGTTCAAATATTTACAGCCAAGTTTGTTTGTATAAGAGTGAATTCGGTCGATAAATTTTGTTGACAATCACCGTCGAATGTATGAAAAACATCATGAGTGAGAATATCACGTAGAAGACTAAAAACATTACACTGGAGGTGGATTATTTCTTACGAATGATGAACTACCTGTCTGCGATTACTGTCCAACTGTCATCGTGATTGTATCGCTTCTTTGGTTCTGAATCTATGATAGTTAAAAATATGAATGTAACATTGTCGATTCTAAGACGAGAAAATATACCAGTTGTTGTTTCCATAGGATCATATTCTTTTGTGCTGTTTTGATTAATACACTGCATAGATTTATCTTCCGTGAATGGTTTTGGTGTTGAGTGTAAGGGTGAAGATGATCGCGAAACATTCGGTGTTGTGATTCCTTTAATTGAATTGATTTCCATACTATGATTTCGTGCGATTGGAATACTATTTGACGATGACGTTGCCGTGTCATTGGTTTGTTCGTGTGAAGACAATGAAAGCACGTTCGAAGGAATATCATCCGAGAACGTGGATGATAGACTTGTTTGTTGAACAAGACACACATGTTGACGATAATCAGGTGATGAATTACTATTTGATATATCACTAGTGAGAACCATAGACAGATTATTGCTGTTTGCAGGTGTGCTCGAACGTTGCTGTAAATCATTCGGTGCATCATTTAGATCAGTTGCACTTGGTCGTGGCATGATCGCACGTTCCTGAGAAGTAGAAGAATTTGATGTGAATTAATACGATTCAAATTGTTACGTTGCGTACCTTATTTCTTTTCTTTGTTGTTTTGAAGCACGCTAATACAGAAACAGATCCTCCTGCCGTTGAAGGATTATGCGTTGACTTTGGTTCATAGCACATGCTACTAGTTGTAGCTACTGATATTGGCTTAGGATCAGTTTTGATCGATTTATTCAGTACAGTCGTTGATGTCGGAGCTGTTGTTGCACGTACACGAAACACAGGTACATCTAAAACAGAATGTAGCTAGGCAAGTAAATATTAGAGAAGTGATATATACTTGGATTCACGGATGTCATTCGATAAATCATTGGTCCGTGAGTTGATGGTGGTCTTTGAATTTGTTGAGGTTGTGATTGAAAATTAACTGCAACCGATTTAATCATTTCGTCGTTCGTTGGACTTGTTCTTGCTGTAGTCACGTTCAATACTGATGGTGATGATTGTTGTTGTTGTTGAAGAACAACTGATGACGAACCTGGGTTGTCTGCATTTAATACTTAAAAAGAAGAGAAGAAAGTGACCAATGTATTCAGCCTAATCAAAACAAAAAAGGGCTTTATCACAAGTATGATCTCTGCATGTACATTGTTAGGGAGCTGATGTTTCAATTTCATAGTGACCGCATGATCTGATGCTTATCTCATCAGACTAACTATGATCATTGCTACTGATAGTCGAGTAAATAGGTAGAAATTTAGCAATCGGTAGTAAAATTTTGCCCACAGGTTTATCAATCAGTATACTACTTGATGAGCGTCGACGTAGTTTTCCTACAGTGGAACCTGTGTGACTATGGTCTGTTGTATTCGAATGAAGCACATTAGTTTGTGTACCTAGTGAAGTTTGTTGCTGCTGCATATCGGATGTGTTGGCTGTTGAAGGTGGTGACGATGTTGGTGATGCGCTTATTGTTACTTCTTGTGCCGCTTGAGGAATTTGATCAACTGTGCACGTTGTTAATGTCACTGGAACAGTCGTAATTGGACGAATGGTTGTTGGAAGGGATTTATTTGCGTCGTCATTATGTGGTCGAGTTAATTGTATGGTCGATGGTGATTGTGATGGTATGACGATTTGAACATTCTTCGGTAATGTCAACGTCGATGTTTGAGTTGTGTTGAGGGGCAAGTTTGTTGACCGTGCAGCTAATGAGTTTGTATTGTTAGAATTATTGTTATTCGTTGTAGTAAATTTAACGACTTTGACAGGACTCGATTGTTGTTGTTGCTGTTGCTGCTGTATAATTGGTGTTGTTGTGGATGGAATCGGCGTTGTGGAATGTGGTAAATGCTGAGTAATGTTAGATGGAGAAACGAGAATAATTTTCGTGTTGCCAATTTGAATATTTGCTGTTGGTTTCGGTACCACGGTTTGAAAATTCAATATTCGCGGTGTAACAAATAGAGTTGGTGTGGTTGCACCTTGTACCGTAGATAGAGGAGCACCTGCTGTTGGTTGAATGATCAATTGTGGATGGTGCAGTTGGGGTTGCTGTTGAGATGATGAGGCTGATTGGGATTTCAATGGCGATGTTTGTTGTACTGAGTGTCGTAAATCATTTGTAGTTGACGAAAGGACTGTAAAATCATTTCGATAGTAGTCCGATTTTGACATCGTACCTTGAGATTTTGTTGTTGATGTATTCTAGAAACCAAAACAGTATTCATGCTAATAACATCAAACAGTCAATACATACGAATGCATTGACAGTGCTTGTTGCGAATTTTGATTCTGTGCTGCTTCCATTCCTATGATTAGGGATAGCAGTAAGCATATTAACAACATATGGTGCCGTGTTCACAATTGTTTTTGCAACAAGTGCATCAACTACATCACGAACAATGTCTTCAATATTTTCTGGGCCATCTTCCAAATGATGATATTCTGCGTAATCGTTATCATCTTCATCGTTAGTAAACGAACGATTTCGTTGTTGGAAGGATGATAGGCGCTTGACTGCATTGTAATTCGGCAGTCCACGTTTACGTGTTATCTTAAATGAATGGTTCGATTGCGATGTCAACGAAGCAGGATGTGACGATGGTAAAATTGATGATATGTACGAACGATGTGGGTTGATGTTCGATTGTGATATTCGATTTTGTAGTTTCGGTGAGGAAAACGAGCGTATCTGCAAAGGAGATGATGATGATGATGGAAGTGGAATCGAATGCGATTGTCCATTAACACGAAGTAACTCTTTTTGCACAACTTCGATTAAAGTATCTAAACTTGTTTTCGGTTTTGTCACTTGTTTAGCACGAACAAGACGAACTACTTTTGATGCTAAACATAAACATGTAAGATATCTGTCTTTGACCGGGAAAGACTGACTCACTGCTGATATCTGTATTATTGAAATTGGGTTTGGTAACAGTATTCGTTTGTGTTTGTTGTTGCTGTGTGGCGTTAATAATTCCATTGTATCGTTTTTCATCATTGAGTAGTTGTTGTAAATCGTGATCTAGATATAAGACCGAGGTGAATCGAATGGAAAATCGAAGAAACATACTTAAATTCGCTTTAGTAAACTGTTTTTTATGCTGAATGATAGAACTGGGTGGCGTTGTTTGTAGAACTTGTTCGGCTAGTTGAACATTGTTCGTATCTGGAGGACGATGAACCACTGTTGGACAATTATTGCCAGCTTCGACTTCCCAATTATCTGTGTCACACGATGAATTAATACTGAAGCAAAAGAAAACTATAGAAGAAAATAGAACAAACAAATCAACTCTACCTAGTGGCTATTTCAGCCAGCTGTTCATCGTACAGTGCACGTTTGATTTCAGCTGTGTGTCGTTCTCGAGAAATGCCAAGCGTATTTTGAAGTACGGGTAAGATATTTGATTGATCTTCTGTAAGGTCTCCTTGAGCACGAAATGCAGCTATAATTTGCGAATACGAATTTACACCTGATAGAAAAGCGAAGTGAAATTTAATTTGTGAATAGGATAAATGTAGGTCATTCGTACCCATATTCTTGATTGTAGCCATGGAACGGCGTTGTAAAGTTTCATGTTCCATGTCTTCATGCCTAAGTGATTGAAAATGATATAAAGTAGATTTATTCGAAAAATTCCTTGTTCATACTGTATCCAAATGAAGATCTAATGAAGCACGAAAGAAGTTTGCTAACAAACTTATATTGAAGATGCTTGCAAATTCGAATAAACAAATAAATAATCGAGTAAAACAAGATTATCTCTGTGTGTTTATATATCAATGAAGCGTATGTGCGCTTTAGTATCGATTATATACGAAGTATTTCTTCGCGTTCATCCGATTCGTCGGTTTAACTGTCATTGTGATGGAGCATTCAAACGAGTTGAGTGGAACCTCAATGGAGAATCCAAAAGCGCCAGTAAAACATTCAAAAAAGAATTTTTATTTTCATATTCATAATACCGTGTACAAATACGAAAGAAAAATTTACTAAATTATTGTTCCAGTCAACAATCATAGAGGTCACCCTCAATAGACACTCAGAAGATGTAATACCACCTTGACTAGATCATATCATATGATGTATAGTATAATGAATCCTTGGAGAGAGATCATTGATCGATATGCAATCAATCATTTTCAAGGTATCTTTTTTATTGGAATAGAAAAGCAAAAGAAAACGTGAAAGACATAATATAAATAGCTAGTTTATAAATCTCATTATGTCTATTCAATTCATTGTAACCATCGGCCGATTGTATCACTAATTGTTTGACGTGCTTGGCGCAATTCAGGTGGATCCCATTCAGCATCGGGATACATATCAGCGCAATGAGCTGTGCCTAAAAATCAATGATTACTTATGATAAAAGTCGTAAACGATTATCTATGAACATACTAGCTAAGAATATGGCAGTATTGTTGTTTGGGGGATTTTTAGTGAAACTTAATGCGTGCCATGGATCAATAGCTCCATTTACGAATAAAACTCTTGAACCATCGAAGTGTTCAGCGCCGTAGAATGCATTTGTGAAGTTAATGCCACGTTCAAGAAGGTTATCATTAAACTTTGGTCCGAAGATATCTGCACATTGTTGAACGAAGAATCTAAATCAATGTCAATAAATTTTTCTTTCGTTAAAATCGAAGATCTTCTCACTCAGCAGGAAAATTATTTCCGAATGGTTGTTGAGGACTATTCGATGATTGAAAGAATCCAAACTCCACACACGTTTGATATGTCCACTGACGACCACCTTCAGACGATGGTGCAGTCCATGACGTATTTCGTAATTGATTGATCATGCTCATATAACCAGCATCGAGACAAGATTGGCTATATGCTTGTAATAGCATGTTGTTAACATCCACCATACGTTGAAGAAGATCGGGTTGACTTTCATTGAGCATTGCTTTGCAGATAACATCGATAGTGATATTTGTTGCACGTGCACCCTAGAATTTTGTTTTCGGAAGACGAATTCGATCGATTGAATTTCACGAGTGAATAAAGGCTGTTACCTCAAATGCTCGATTGTCTTTATTGTATTGAACAACACCTTCGAAATTACCAGTTACAGTTTGGAAGAAGTTATCGACATCATTTTGAGTATCAATAGGATCGCATAAACTATTCGACGAAAGGGAATATTTCATACAATTATAAACAAGTGATTGTTTTCTTTCTTTACCGGAAAGCTTTCTGTAAAGCTGTACGACCTGAAGATGATGTGATCATGTCTTGCATTATTTTAATCGTACTACTGGTGACATCATTGCATTTTTCATCATAGGTAGCAAGTGAATTACGTACAACGACTAAATAATCTATCAAATAAAATAAAATGTATATTTCTAACTTCGGTATCAAATCATCACGAACCACTAAAATCAGTTAATGCAGTCATTGGACTACTGGCTGAGATAGCACCGTGCACAAGATGAGGATATTTCAAACGAAACCATGCGGATAGAGAACCTGAAATAATCTACAATGTTGCTGTTTTCAATTTAAACAGTTCGATTAACCTGGATAAGATCCACCGAATGAGATCCATTTGGTTTCTTCAGCTATTTGATATTTTCCATTGAAGAATTGACGGAATGTAGCCAGATCAGCAAGTGCCTGTTCACTAGTAAGATAGCTCAAATTATCTACACTAAGATCTCTAGAAATTTGAAAACAGAAATCAATCATCCTGATGAAATGTTCGTTTTCAAGGTTTACTCTGTCGGATGACTTTTGCCGTAGAATCGATGTTCAAGCATAACACATATTGCACCATGTGTTTTGGCATAATTAATCCATTGTCCTTCCGTCATCCAAATAGGATCAGCTGGACCTTCACCACCGATTTGAATGAAAACTGGTCCCCCCTGTTTCCAGTGATCACTGTTAACGAAAAATCGTTGTTGCCATGTTCGCGTATCAGCTGGATTAAAGTGATCTAATTGCTGCGTATACCAGAGCTCATCGCTGGGTGATTTGTGTCGATGGAATGGACGTCGAAGACGTTGTGCCGGAGAGCCGAGCATACCACCACGAGGTCGTCCACGATGGAAAAATGGTAGACCATCGATTAATAATGGTAATAGAATAAATCCAATGACGAACAACTGTAGAGTATGCATGTTGATCAAATGAAGAAGAACATAAAACTCTTATCTAAATATACGTAATAACTCGAATATTCTTTTGTTGGTTTTCAAACAATGACAGTGCGAAGATACTGCTCTACAATGATAAACGATACTCGGTCAGATTAAACATGCAAAATGCATTGTACATCATAACGCGATGAAATATTGAAACAAGATTAGATTTCCTTCTTTTTCGGTCTTTATTAAACCAAAGAAACATGTTATACAAAATCACTCATACGTCGTAGTTCTCGGAGATCAAAACGATATTTATCTCGTCGAGCACGACGTACAATAATCATCGCTGGAACAACGAATGTAATAAAGAATAATAGAGTACCAAGTGAAACACTAATAAAACACACTATTAATTGCTGATTTGTCCATGTCGGCAACGCGTCCTTTCTCAGGACAGAATATCCGTCAATAGTCGAATTTGTATTATCATGAAGAAGCAAAATTTCTACACAAAAAAGGAATATATGTATTTTGAACATCAGTAATTAAATTTACCTTGTGAATAAACCGTAAAACGTGCCAAATATTCGATTAGAAGTAAGAATCCAGCCAGTTGGCAATTCCACATATGAATGTGATTTCTTCTACTGGGATAAAACTAACAATTGACACGAAGTATAGTTCATCGATGTTTGATTGACATATCCAAGCACATCAATCAATTCTTTTGATTCTTTTCTCCTCTCGCTTTCTAACATATACAAACTGTCGACCGATTAGTGGTCTCTAATGTTCATTGAAGTAGTAACACAAATGAACCATGTTCCACTTCTGACAAGTAACAGCCGGTAAATGTCAAAGACATCAGAATGAATCTGTGGAGGACATCCTTCCATTCTAGGATAGCTGATATAGAATAAGTGTCGATAGATCGATGGATCAAAGTTTGAGTGTTAAACATTCGACATCTCGAACAACTTCTTCAGATATAGGAAAGAAAGTTTGTCTAGAAATAAAAGTTTGGTGTTATATGCGAATGTCAATCTTCAATTAGCATAATTCGCTTGTGTTTGATGAATATAAATAAGGTCAATTTCATATTTATTAAGAATCATACTATTTATGTTTTCTATACAACAAATAGATCGTATCTGACATAGAATATGTTTAGAGTAGAAAAGAAAAGACAGGAATGGATGGAATCAATCTATCTGCTTCGAAGAGAAAAACAAACAAAAAATAAAGTTAAATTGAAGCATGTTTACAATTTAAATAAGCAAAGAGATTGTTCTTATCTGTTTTGGTATCTTTCTTCGTCTTGTCGCATAGATTAAATTGATTTTCAATACGACGAGTCAAACTAGCAAACGAATGATTATTACTATTTTCATCATTGCCGTCGTTACTTGGTAAATTATTACCAGTTAAAAATGTTTCCTCTAGAAAGAATCGTTCGATCATAGATTGAGGCAAAGTATTGTTTTACCTAGGGAATTTTGAGTGACAGCGCCCCAAGAATAAAATTCTTTTTGAAATGGTTGCTGAACCCAGTCGTGCCGTTGAATTTCTTGCATAGTTAAACGATGATATGGTTGGCGAATAAGTGTTGAAGTGAATAAATCATAAAGTTCGTCGGATACACGTGATTGCAAAAATCTTCTGTCCAATTGACAATGTTTGATCTCGTCTGGATTTAGAAATGGATATCGACGAAAGATGATGACATACAAAGTCACCATCATTGCCCATATATCAGCTACGAATGGCTGACAACTAATTAGAAAAGTGAGGGATGAAACTTGAGAGAGAAATTAGAGAAGTATTCCAACCTTCCTGTTTGAAAGAATTCTGGACAACAGAATTCTGTAGTACCACCAAAATTACTGGTATACATATCTGCTTGTGTTATCGATATCGCTGAACCTAAATACATCGATATAGATTAGTGATAGTCGTGAAAACGATTGCGTTTCATACCGAAATCAATTAGTTTGATGTGAAAATCTTCGTTGATGATTAAGTTTTCATCTTTGATGTCCTGATGAGCGATGTGATTATGATGTAGATAACTAACAGCATCGACTACCTGCAAAAAGATGCACGAACGTCATTTATTAGTCAATATTCTGTGAAGAAACTTTACCTGACGGAATATATAACTGGCTAAAGATTCGTCAATTTTAGCACCCTTTTCAATGAATTCATATAAATCGATTCCTTGGCCATGCAATGGCATGATCATCTGAACATAATTCTCGGTATCGAATGCATCTAATATCTATAAGTAATCCAAACAGATTGGATCATGCGATTGAGGATATCAAAGTTTTACTTCGACAATATTTGGATGTTTTAATTGTTTAAGTACCGCCACTTCGAATAAAATACGATTTTTTGGTTCAAAACTTTCCACATACCGATGAAGTTTAACTTTTGTCTTTTTGATAAACTTAATCACAACCTTGTTTGATTCATTGTTTTTTTCATAACCTAAATAAACTTGCCCGTAGCCACCTCGGCCTCTCTGCCGTGTGATGACGTATTTCGACTCGAATGTTTGAGTATCATTTGCCAACTGAGATGTGTTCAAACCAGATATGGATAAATCATCAATTGGAATGATCGATTGATTGTGATCAAGTAATTTCTGCATTTCAATTAAATGTGGATCAGTGTTATCACGTGATAGCCACATACAATATCGATATGTACCGTCAGATAGATCCAGACGACGTAAGGTGTATGTAACACCAATAAACGTT